CATTGTGAATAATAAGTAATTCTCTTCCTCCCCTGAGAAGCCTCTTATTCTGCTATTAATCAAATCCCTTTAAAAAGCATGAAATATTGGGAACTATAATTAAAATATTACCATTTGAAAGCCAGAACAAAAGAAGATGGGAGATTTGGTAGTATGCTTCCTGAAAACCCAATCAAGATAATATGCATTACCTTTTTAAAAAAAATCTGTTTGGGGGGACTTAAAGAAAAAATCAATTGATTACTGACCAGATATCAAGAAACACTCTAAGTTTGAATTTAACATACATAGGCCAAAGACTGAGAGTTGTTTCTTTCTTCAGAGAGGGAATGGAAGACTAGAAAGTGGGGAAGAGGGTAATTTATATTTTATTTTTGTATGCTTGACTTATTTTGGTCTAATGTATTACTTTTCAATATTAAAATTTGTTACTTAATGGACACTTATTTATTACCATACAGCAGATAAAAGAAAATAGATCTAAAATTTTAAACAGTTTTATCATGGAATTTGCAACTAAAAATTTGTATAGAAAGGAAGAGGGAAAAATCCCTCACGAAATCAAGACATGTGAGATATATCCCATATTAGCTTTTTAATTCATTTCACCTTTGGTTCCTAATCTCATGTCCAGCTGCTTGCAATTCCTCATATTATTTTAATTATGAATCACCATCTGTTAAGTTTTGGGGCCAGAATTAGCTGAGTTTCTATACCTCTTTCCTATTACATAAAGTAGTAGTCAAACTACCTTCCCCTCCCCAGCCCATCACAGTCGTGGGTACCCATGATGGATCACCAGTGATAGTCACAGAACTTAAGGCTCAAGTTCTCAAACTTAGCTCTACATTTTGAAGTGTTTAAAAGATCACATTAACAGCCTAATAATTAAAAAGAACCTTTTAAGGTCCTCATACAGAAAGCAAGCAAGCAGTGAGGTGCGTCTTAGTGATACCATTAATGGGGAAATATTTTTTGTTAAATGCATAGTGGACTAGTTTTATAATGCCTAAAATATTTGTATTCTGAAGTATCTTAAAATAGAAAGATAAACAAATACTTTCAGATTCTGCTATCAGTGAACCAGAAAATAAGATGGTATTTCTAACTCATTTTGTGCATTATTTGTATGGATGATTGAAGCTCCTGAATATTAAAATGCTTATTAGTTAAAGATTATATTTTTATAATTTAGAAATAACACCCTGATGTTCATTTTTATTTTACACTTTTTAACAAGAAACTGAAGTTTATTCAAAATGAAATATATATGATAGACCACAGTGAATTATGTGCATCTGTATTTAAAAATTTTTTTTATTTTAAATTGTGTTGATCCTAGCATTATTTGGAGTTAATCTATCTTAAATAAATTTGTATCTATGTGGAGGGATTAGGGATAGACTGAGGAGACAGACAGACGTTTTAAGAAGGCATGGGAAATGGCAAAGCAGTGAGCTAAGATGAATGGAACTGTGACTTAAAGTAACCAGTTTATTTGCACAACTTAATTCACCATGAAAACATTCCACTTTGTTTTTCCACATCCAATGTAGAAACAGGTTCAAGAGGAATTTGTAGACATCGTCAAAGAGAATTGACAGTCAATAGAATTGCAACCAATGTGTTCCTACTTTAAAAACCCAGCCCCTGGCCTATTTGGAACGATGTATAATCAGCTTTACATAACCTGACTTGTAGTTTCTACTGTTCTTCCAAACCTTCCATGATTAGCAGCCTGTTTAAGGTTTGTGAGGCTGATGGGTATTTGTCAAATTGGCCTTTCTTTTTTTGTAACATCTAGGTAATCACAGAAGAGATCTACCAAAATTCTGTGATTCCAAGGTTCTCCAAAATTTACTCAGCTTTTATTGCTGCATCTTAATGGATCCTTTTGTCTGAAAATCTTTCCAACCATAATGATTAAGCAATTCAAGTGATGGATTTTACACTGGCTCCTCTTCTCCTTTTTCTACTGCATCTGTAATAGATCAAGCACTAGAACCCAAGAAGTATATAAAACCTGCTGTCTTCTTCTTGGCCTTCAGTTTCCTCACTCTATCCCATGCCCTCCAATGTCAGGTCAACTGTTTCAACTCTAAGAGAAGCAATGCTAGCATTATATCATTAGAATTCCCAATGTTCAAAGAACTCCACAGAGCTCTTGCAATCTTCACTGGACTCTTATTTCAACCTTCCATGCAAGGTAAACTGATGTATCTGACGGCCCTCCAAGCACACTCAATAAGGGCTCAGTGCTTTCACTTGCTCAGCATCCCGTTGTAAGGAGCATCCCTTCCTTCTTCATCTCCTCTTTGTACTGAATCTTTTCCTAATAAAGTTCTATCTTCCTCTGGGTCACAGAAGCTGAACATCAGCTCTTTCACAAACCTGTTCTTGCTTGACCCAACAAAAAGTATCTCCTTTGTGAGTAATTTGTGCTCCCCAGCATTTCCAGACAGCCTTCTCTCAGTGTTAATATATAACATACCCTTTCCTCTTCTTAGCTTTTAAACTCTTGGGTGGCAATCACAACTCAGCCTTATCAGTATATCTTATACCTTCTTCTATGTTGACATTTACAGGCCCCAGTCAATACCAATCGAATGAATGAACAATAAAAGAGCAAGAGAGTTATTTATTCAGCTTTGCATGAGATTCTGGTTTTATTTCAAATAAACACAGGTCTTTGTCTAAATTATCTTGGCAAGACCTCTCTAAACAAGGTATAGAATTTCTATATGCAAATTCCATACTGTATATTGTAAGTAGAGAAATACAGGAGTGTCTGCATTAGTGTTTTTTACATAGATGATAAAGATAACTCAAGACACTAGGTTTTTCACTTACACTGTACCTTTTGAAGGAAAATGGTACTTTGAGGCAGTGAATATGATACATCTACCTGCTTGGGTTTGTTACCACCTGGTGCATTAAACAAAACTGAATTCATATCAGCTAAATCATGTGTTTTAAAGACAAAAATAACATGAAAAATTGAAAATTAAAATCTGTCCATTTTTTACTGTGTGTACCGATTTTAAACACATGATTAAGAATTTACTTTAAAAAATTCAATGGAACACTGGAAACTTAAATGTCAGAAAACATGCCTAATGTCCATATTATAAGGTCACCATATTTATATCATACTTCAAAGACATGAGCAGACATGATATAATTAATGGCTTATTAGGGCCAGCTTTCATTTTCACCTTTGCCCTTTCCATTCAGTCCTTCAACAGCATTTATTAAATGTCTGGCACTCTACAAGCATCCTCACTGTGAACACAAAGACAGAGTCCTCATGTACATTTCATCTACATATAGCCATTGTTTTCACACAAAATTTAGTACTGTTTGATTGTCACTAAAAGCAGCCACTCTGCTTGACTCTCATTGATGCAGATAGTATCATCCTCACCCCTAACCCTTTTTTTGGAGCAACAGAATCACCAAAATCTCTCCTACAAACTATTGCAATGTTCTTCCAAGTAAATGTACTAACTCCAGTGTTTCTACACTGTAATAGAAGATTTTTCTTTTTCTTCGTGGTACTGGGGTTTGAACTCGGGGCCTCATGCTTTCTAGGCAGATGTTCTGCCACTTGAGCCACTCCACCAGGTTTCTCTGCACCTGTCTACATTCATCTTCTTGAAGTTTATTATTTACCTATTTAAAAACTAATAACTCAAACAGACTCTTAAGAGACTATTAATATGCCACATTTTATTTTGTAAACATACCCCTGCCTTCACCCAAACCCAATTATTTACCATTTCAAACATATGCTATCTATTTCTTTTTCTAGATATTTGCTTGGGTAGCTCTCGCTGGGACCTGTTCTTCCTTTTCTACAAAATGATAGAAACTGTGATATCCTCTAAGAAATACCTGAAATAATAATTTCTGTATAAAATCTTGAATGGTTGTCAGAGATTTTAGAGCTTCATCATCCCTGGAAATCTGAAATTGATTCTTTCTATTTTCTAAGCACTTCCCACACTGTGTTTCACATTGTCTATTCACCACCAGGCTACACATTCTTAAAGAAGAAGTAGCTTAGTTTATCTTAGCACAAAGTAGGTCCTCAAAAAATTGTCTGTTATTATTTCTGATTATAAATCTTTTTTCTATATCCTACATATCTTCTAAGTCTTATATTAAAATATGGCAAGAATGATCAATGTGGTTTCCATACTGTCTAGTAGACCAATAATGGGACCCACTGAAGGAAAAGGACTCTGAGTTATGGTGCTTCAGGCACAGAGATTCACCATAGCCTTTTCATTACAACAGTGGGTTTCTTTTCACTTGCTTCTTTCCTACTCCATTTCTTTCTTTGAGTTGTTTTTCATTCATTCTTCTACTTCATTTCCCTCTGTCTAACACACAGGCACATTCACTGGCATTTGGATTATTTCTGTTAGCAGCACTTCAGGATTAACATATTTCTGCCTTCTTGGATGTAGTATGAATAATGAGTGTTGCCTTGCTAGAATAGTGCTAATCTCTAACCTTCATGCTTGTGGAGAAAAGCAAAATTAAAAAATTTCAAACTGGATGTCAGTGTTTAAGACTCTCAAATGGTTTGTCCATCAACCTAGGTGATATTAAAGGAAAAAAAGCAAGTGTGCTAACATGCATGTGGTGTGTGTGTATCCATACACATTAACTATATTCATTAAACGAAAATAAAAAAACCAGCAGCTCCATTAAGCCCATTGTCTTTCTAGTTCTTTTTCAACTTCTGCCATTTATATGATCTTACCATACTACCAAAAAGTGAAGCAAAATTTAAAAGGAAAGCTCAGGTGAATGTGAGCTGAACATTATGATAACTATACATTTTTTTCTGTTTAAACTCTTTTCCAATAGTTATACTCTTTCTTGGGTTTTATTGATACTCATGACTTTGTGCTACAAAACAATGGCTTTCCCAATAAATAATCCTCCTGAAATATGGGATAAACTGAAAATAATAACTGTAGATTATTTAAGGTGAATGGGTAGAAAATCACTTACCCCCAGTTGCCACAGTGATTTCACGCAGGAAATGACCATAAAATGGAAAATCGAAGGACAGATTCACTCTCTGTAAGGAACAACAGCAGAAAGAAAAATCAATAATGTACAAAATAGTAAAGATAAAACGAAGAGCCTTTCACTTAAAAAAAATGATGCTTTGACTTTACCTTATTAAAATTGTAATTGACTTTTAAAAGTGAATCCTAAATGGTATTAAAGAATATTTTTCTGGTAATTAAATGTTTGAAGTATGAGGAAAGAGTAAAGTTGGGCTATAATGGTCTCTTGATCTGTTCCTAACTTACAAAGACTATCTGGAAGTTTAAAATCAAAGTCAAGTATTCTCTACACCATCACCATTGCTGTTTATTCACCCATTGCAGGTTCTTTGTAATTTGGCTAGCTTATATATATACTTGCATATACATATATATATCATGCTTCATATATATATATATATATATATATATCAAGATTCATTGACTGAAAGCCATAAGACTTCATTTTATACTATTAAATATTCAAATTGTGTATCCAATAATAGAAAGAAATTTCATGGACGAAAAGACCTTGCATCTAGAGCTGCAGATCTAAAGACATTTTCAGTTTTTAAACACAATCCACCCTCTCGATTTAGCATATTGTGTCCTTTTACAGAACATAGTGTGGTAGGATAGACAAGACCCATTAGCAGAGAGCTACGTTTATGTGGTTGAGGGGGAAATTGTAGAAACATTGACAGAAAGTTCATAAATTGTGCTTTTCTATTTTCTAAAAGGAACCAAAAAGCTTAATATGTAAAAGGAATATGTGTGATTTTGAAAATAATTTATACAAAAAATTAAAAACACAATTGAACAAAACCCCCAAAATTCTAGTTCCTTGCAAGGTTGAAATTATACGAACTGCATTATTTGTAGGTAAAAATAAGAAAAACATTGAGTTATAGCAAGTACAATACAAAGGAAATAAAAGAGTCCAAAGGAAAAGTAAGTAGCTGGTTTAGAGCCCAATATCATGTGCAAGCTACTTATAATAAAAGGCTATTATGTTAAAATCCCACAATTTCTACATTATATCTTCTGCTGTATACCAATTAAAAAAATAAAAAAATTCTATCTACTAGAATTTAGCTCTTTCCAATTTTGCAACTGATTGCTTTTTCACATTCATCAGAGATTCTAATGACTTATTTGGCATGAAATTAATCACTCAAAATTTACAGTGACTTTCAATTAGATTTTCTTTCCTTATTAATGAAAGCCACATCTTAATAAAAGGTTTCTCATCATTTCTGTTTTGTGCTGACTAATGGGAACTACAAAACCCACTTTCACTGCACTACCTAAAATGAGTGGCCACTAATAACACTAAAATTTAAGCAGCAATGGTGAAATTATTTATCTCAAAGATGTCAGAAATAATTTTATAAATGCACTTGATGTAGTAGGCTATTCTCCATCATTCTAATTTGTTTCCATGCTCATCAGAAAAATTAACACCCTCTAGCATTCTCACTGCCAGAAAGAGTTTGCTTTAAATATATACTGGTAACAAACTATCAATTGCCACTACAGATGGACGAGAGGAACATGACATGAGTTTTCTCAACTATCACAGATATTTAAATATATTTGGAATTTGATTAAGATACATAAATATACATGGAAGTTAACAAGTTTTTTTCCTGAGAAGCAAATAGGTCCTGAAAGAAAATTTATTAAAACATCACTCTAAAGAGCACCATCAATGGTTGAAGAGCTTCCCTGTTTAAATGACCAGTCCGCCTTAGTTATCAAGGTGATGTGCTCCACTCTGCCACAGAGCAGCAATGGCAATTTAGACAGATAGATGCTCTCTTCTATAAACAGTTGTGAAATCCATGAATTTCTCTTCAGTCACTGTTAGCACTCTTCCCTAAGTGTAGGTCAATAACTTCCTCACAGGTACATTAGCTCCAGTTCCCCTTGAATCATTCCATATAGCATACCAGTCCCATTTCAGTCATTCCCTGGGAATAATACCAACATAGTGAAAGTGAGTTCTAAGGCCCACCACTAACTAGCCTCTGCTACCCCACAACATTCTCCCTACTATTCTGTTCTCTAGCCATTCATAATGAACATCTTTTAGTTCCTTGAACCTGTAAATATTCATTTTAGCCATCTGTACTATATGACAGCCCTTCTGATTAGAATAGTCTATCAACCTTGATGACTTCTGAATTCTTCATGCTTTGGCTTAGTTTTGGTTGTTCCCTCAAACCAATCCAGACATAAGGACCTATGGGAAGACTGTCTTTTTGGAGTGTAATTTTAGAAGGCACTTGATAAAGGGTGTTAGAAAATTGAGACAATGTAAAAACAGGATTAGATGTGTTCGTATTATAGCCTGTTGGGCCTTCACTCTTGTGGAGACTTTCTAAGAAACAGTCATGAAAACATGCTTCGGATTAATTTCTTTGGGTGACACAGGAAGCTAGGAAATTCATCCACCAATTGTTATTCCTTGTTGATTGAGGGTTGCTCAACTCCCCTCCTCTCTTGTGCATCCTGAAGCAGGAATGAAGGTATGGCTCTAATGGTAGAGCACTTTCCTAGCATGAGAGAGACCCTGAGTTCAATTCCCAGTACTACTAAAAAATTAAGAAAGAAAAGTGAGAGTACTTGAGTTGAGAAGTTGCTAGTAGGTTAAAAACGACCTACCACAGTATCAATGTGGGGCAAAGCATCCACAGTGGCTGCTGAATGTGAGATGCTCAGAGTCCTACATTGACTTTGAAGCTTAAGTCATGGCTTTCCACTATATCTTGCTTAGCTTGCTGAATAGCCACACACACATAAAACAACTGCATACGCCTCATATTATAAGTACTTCAGAGTGAAAATGACTTACAACTACAGTGCTTAAGGATGACCAAAATGGGAAACTAGAATTTGATCATAGGTTTCATTGATTTAAAAGGCAATTTTAAATATCTCAGTAACCAAGATATGAAAACAAAGTGATAAAGCAAAATTAGGAAAATTATTGTTATCCCATCTTATGTACACTAATATAAAAACAAATGATTAAGCACTAGAATTTCAACCAATACCTTGAAGTCAAATGATTATATACTCAATGCAATTATAGCTGAATAATTGGATCACTATTTTGTGTCAGTAGTGTATAGAACAGGTGTTACAGAAGCTGAAGGGACATTTATTCATTCACTTATCAGTCAGTCAATCAAAAATCATGTTTTCATTACCTGTACATAACAGGAATGAAAGCAGAGGTCTTAGGTAGGAGGGTGAGTTCCCCTTACTTCATGCGTTTGTGGCGACAGAATCAACAAGGGATAACAGTAGAACCATGCAGGGGCTGAATGAGAACCACAAGAAGATACCTGATCTAGAACATAGGGCAATGAAAAGGGTTTTTGAAAAGAAACTACCCGAAGTTTGCTACATAAGAACTTAAGGTGCAGGACAAAAGTGTAAGGTCACAGAAGTTGGGAGTGAGTAAGAAGAAGCCAGAAAAAAGAGCAGAATTCTAGCTAGAGGAATGGTGAAACACGACATCACCAAACTGAGATGATCAAATTGAGAAGAGCTATTTTGGTTAGGTGGGACAAATTTGCTGAGTCACTAATTAGGTATGTATCCCTTAATTATATAAAAAAAAATGACCCCAAACTGTCTAGGAAACAAAGAACTCTTCTGCCATCAAAAAGGTTAACAGAACCCTGGGCATTGTCACAAAGAGGAAACTGGTAAATTAATCCACCTAGGACATTATGCTGTGTTGGATCTCATCCCTTAAGAAATATTTAATGTTAGAGAGGAAAGGAAAAGTTTAGGAAAATGGTCAATTGAATAGTCAATTAACTAAGAATCTGTACAAAATACAAAATAGAAGCTCACAAGTGTAGCAAACACAAAGTCCTGAGTAGCATGTTAAAGTTTTAAAGATCAGAAGGGAAATTTTGGTGTTTGCTGGGGTTTGGGATTTGAACTCAGGGTCTTGTGCTTGCTACACAAGCACTTCCACATGAGCTACACTTCAGTCTTTTTTGTTTTAGTTTATTTTTCAGGTAAAGTCTTGCTTTTCTTTTCCTGGACCAGCCTTCCGGTAACACTGAATGACGTCCCCATGAAACTCATTCACCCACAAATGCATAAAATAGGGTATTAGTGATTTTATTTATTTATTTATTTATTTAATAGATTATTGTCTTTGACTAATCATAAGACACATATTTACAGCCTGCATTTAATAGGACTAGATGGAACTTAATTTCTAAATTTTGAATCATTCTTTTCTAATTTTTGAGTGACCTAGAAATTACATTTTGTTAGTAGCTTTGTGACTTCACAAGCACTTAACTGTTTTAATCCAAAGTTTCTCTTTTATACTGGCAAGACACTCTTTTTAATGTTTATTAAAAGAATCCATGACTGACTAGTACCTAGACCTTCATAATCACTGAGTCAGTAATGGTTAACATTAAATGATGTACACTAAAGTGTCTAGCATAACAATAGTCCCTTAAAATTAGTTTCCTAAGAATAGTTCTTATTTGATACCTAACAAATAGCTGGAAATTACTAGATATGTTTTATTTCTACTACACAAATACATCGTCATAATGCTTTCTGTAAAAACAGATTAAACCAATTCAGATAAATTACTTTTCTAATAGTATTAATACTATAACTAGATATAATTTTTCTGGGCTTTTATTTTGTTGAAATAATTATACCTCTTATAAATACAGTGCTAGGAGAACAGGATTTTCACTTAACACAACAGACTTCATGCTACATATTTTGCCTGCATTTAGTAAGTACGAATGTGACAATGTGCAGATAAAAGTAGGATGAGAAGCCAGATATTTGTACGGTATCAAATCACCTTCCAACAAGATATTTCTTAATCACAAAAGATAAGTAGTAATGATGCAGTGAAGAAACAAAACCTGGTAGGAATCACCTAAACCAGATAATGGAAGTTAATAACACTTAACTTTCACAGATGCGTATAAGACACTGTCATCAGGTGCCTCTGTCTATTTAGTGCTGC